ACTGGTTGGCTGATCAATATCGACTAAACTAATAGGAATTTTTTCATTTACTCTATTTGTTATTTCTTGTCTCATATTATAAACTGCTCCAGCTCTAATTAGCATTTCATCAAGTCTAGCCAAAGACCTATATACTTCCTGAGAAATTCGATTATGATCAATTAACTTTACAATAGCTTGTGTTTGTAATTCTATTTGTTGTTTATTGATTTTTCCATAATTGATATTATATGTATGACTACTGATTTCAAACTTTGCTTGTTTAAGAACGATGCTATCATTTGGATGAAAAAAATTCTCTTTTTCTTCTTCTACAAATTTTAGTAACTATTTTTCTAAACCTAATATGTGTTTGCGCTATGCTAAGGTGCTATAATTATTAAATAGTTTCATTCGTACTAACTCATTTGATGTTACTATTTTACAAACTGCCTCTACACTTTTATAGCATAAGCCAAAAAGAAGGGGTTCAGAGAGTCTGCTTTTGGATTCTACTTGTTTATTGTTTTGAATATCTTTAACCAAAGCCTAATAAAAATTATACAGTATTAAATATAGTTGTTAGTAAAACTACTGAACTAAATTACACTGGTGAAACTGGTGACTATCTAGTATTTAAAATATTTGTTATTTTACCTCACAATATAATTGTGCAGCATGTGAAGTTGACTGATCCAACTCTACAAGCTTGTCTAAATACTCTCCAAAGTATATTTGATATAATAGTTTATCATCAATATAAACTATCAAGCACTCAACAATATATTTTTTTTTTGAATACATGGTTCGAACAACATAATTATGGGGTATAGGATACTTTGCAGGGTGCTGAGTATATTTAAGTTTATTCTTTGGTGGATATACATCTTCTTTAATTATATGAAATTTGAAAGTTTTATGTTCATCTTTTAGGACAATATCAGGGCTTTTCAGATAATTACTTTCTTCTTCTCATATCATTTTGGTAAATAAAGTTTTAACAAACGCTAAATGTGTTTTGTAACTTGTTAATAACTGGTTGTTTAACTAGTTGTATTATTTATAATCACATATTTGCATTATGGTATTGTTATTTTAATATTAATAGATAATCAGTAGAATTTCAGTTGATTTTATTACATATCAGGTATGATGATAATTCTTGTACGTACGTAGATTTTTTTTAGAAAAAGATGATTTTTTAATTTTGAAATAATTTTTGATAAAAATAAGCTATATTAATGAATAGTACAAAAAGTATGATTTTTATATACTTTACTAGCTTGAGAGAGCCAGAAACTGCACCTAAAACTGGCACAATTTACCTATTTACCTTGATAAGGTTTTTATTATTTAATTTAAAAATTTGAATAAAATTCTGCTTATGTGCATTGTTTTTACAATTTCTTGATAAAGTATATTGTTCAAATTTAACTAATTTTAATTATTCTTAAAATTTATAGGCAGTGCATTTATTCAATCAATTTTGAAGTTAAATCTATATTCATAAGGAAATATAAGTCTTTTTTTTTTTTAGTATTTTGTTAAATTATCAATATCCGCCACTTCTTATGATTATAATAAATATTACCGGGATGAGGTAATGTGCTATTAAGTTTAATTCTTTATTGTTACTATAAGTTGTATTAAAATCGAATAACAGTAAATATCTACTTTGTTGTATTTAAAAAAAAAAAAAAACAGCATATAACAAAAT